TTTAATACATCTCAGTTTAAATAATACTTGGATCTAATAGACCTCATGCGAAAGTTAGTCTATCAATACAATTGATTTCATCTATACGGAAAAAAAAATCATATAAAAATGCATGGCGCATGTTCATACTTACTTTTTATGTTATCTCCGTCAATGCGATTCCACATACTCAAAACAAAAACCATAGAAAAAGAAAAGGCATGCCACCTCAAGCTGTATTATAATTCCAGAAAATGAGGAAGAAGATTTCACTTTGGACATTTGTTCCAAAAACCAACAATATATAGGCACCAAGTAACAAATGCATATTACCAAATCCCCTATGCCCCCTGTTTCCCCCTTAGTTTTGCGACATGTGGCACACAACTTGACAGGAATTTAACTCTAGCTTCTTTTTTTCCTTTAATTAAAATCATTAAAATATATTAGATGTTTTTTTTTTTTTTTTGGTCAATAAGAACTTTCATTAACAAGAGAGCAACCCAACAGATTACAACTCAAAGAGAGGAAAGCAAAGCCATGCGACAGAAACAGAAGTGCATGCACAGCAAAAATTCAATAGACCCATACAAGCTGCTACAAGAAAGAGCCCCACAGTGTGGGAGTGGTTCGACAATCCAGAAATAGAGAGTCTTGGCCATCTTGAACAGCACAAGCTATGTGGAGGCTGAAGGAGGGCAGGGAAGGCCGTCACGGTTTAAGATATGCACAAGAGAGGTGGGGGGCCTGGATACCCAGACTTCCGGACTCGACCTCGATAGTGCCAGCGACGCAAGGTGATCTGCCGCTTCATTGTTTTTTCTACTGGTCCAAACCCAATTACAGTTTGAGAAATTGGAGTTGCATTCACGGATCCTTGATAGAAGTGGATAGAGGTTCCATCTTCCACGCTTTATGTTTCCTTTCACGCTCTCGATCAGTTCTTTGGAGTCAGATTCAAAGCAAACCTCTGATAAGCCCAGCTCATATGCCCATTTGCAACCCTCAAAACCAGCAATTGCCTCAGCCATGATCGCAGAATCCGCATGGAAAGATAGGCATTTCGCTCCCCTGAACTCACCATTGGCATTTCGTGCAATAAGACCAGCTCCTGCTTTGCCAGAGGATGCCGACCAAGCAGCATCAAAGTTAACTTTAATAACATGGGCTTCCGGTGCAGTCCAAGAGGTAGGACTTGGAGGGGGTCCGTCGCAAGACCTCCTCACGATCTTTCTGCTATTCAACACGGCCAGCTCCTCCACTTGTGAAAGAATGGTTTTGATGGCCAAAAGAGGTTGTGGTTTACATAGATCAAACACAAAACGATTCCTTGTTTTCCAAATAATCCAGCATGTAACAGCAATAATGCATGATATGCGCCCTATTTCCTCCTTAGTTTGGAGCCCATCCGTGGTACATTTCAGCAACCATTGGTCAAAGGTGGTAATTCCCTGTTTGTCAATTTTATAATTAAGAGGGCCACCAAACCAAATCAATTCTACCCACGGGCAAAAGAGAAGCAAGTGTTCAATAGATTCCTCATGAGCTTGGCATATGGGACATAATGGGGTTCGAGCAATTTTGCGTTTGTAGAGAGCCATTGCCGTAGGCAGTCTACCATGAGTCGCACGCCATAGAAAGTTTTTTATCTTTGGCGGAACCTCAGCTTTCCAAATATTTTTCCATACCAAGGGGTCTATCCGTGATGATGTGGAGGCGTTTCTGGCAGTGGTCTCAACCTGCAGGGCATGGATGCAATGGTACCCGGACCGAACTGAAAATTTGCCATTCTTTTCCCCAGGCCAAACTAATCTGTCGTCCTCCCTTCCATTCCCTATAGGGATAAGCTGGATAGCAAGCTTCTCCTCGTTAGTAATTGAAGCTTCAATCGGGGTTAGGTTCCAAGTTTTGGAATCCCAATCAATTAAAGTTTCCACCCTAGTGTTAGGATCGACCGAGGCCTGTAAGTTGGGGTGGAGTTTACCGTCATGAAGGGAGGGAATCCAACAGTCCGTCCAAAGCTTTGCTTGTCTACCATTTAGAATTTGCCACCGAGCTCCCTGAAGAATGATCTTTCTTCCTTCAAGCAAGCTTGCCCAAGCCCAAGAAGCTCGTCCACCTTTCTTTGCCTCCAAAAAACTGCATTCCGGGAAATAACGAGCCTTCAAGAGTTGAGCCCATTGGGAGTTTGGTTCCATGATTAATCTCCAACATTGCTTGGCTAGCAAGGCCAAATTGAAATCATTAAAATCTCTGAATCCCATGCCTCCCTGTTTCTTTGGAAGCCCCAAAGTAGCCCAACTGATCCAATGCACTTTTGTCTCATCTTGTTTTTGACCCCACCAGAACTTTGCAATCTCGTGCTCCAGCTTTTGACAGAAAGATTTGGGAAACTTAAAAATTCCCATGGGGTAAGTTGGAACTGCCTGTGCGACTGATTTGATTAGAATGTCCCTTCCGGCTTGTGATAATAAACCTTGCTTCCATCCTCCAATCTTTTGCAGCAACCTTTCCTTCACAAAGTTTAGAGCCTCACTCTTTGACCTGCCCCAAAGAGTAGGCAAGCCCAAGTATTTCCCAGTATCCATAACAGTTGGCATACCTAGGATAGATTCCAGCTCTCTTTTTAAATCGTCAGGAGTGTTGGGGCTAAAGAAAACACAAGATTTTCCCAAATTGATCTGTTGTCCTGAGGCTCTGCAGTACCCATTTAGAAGATTCATCATATTGCGACAATTTTGAGCATTTGCCTTGAGAAAGAATAAGGCATCATCCGCGAAGAGAAGATGAGAAAGGATCGGGCCATTCCTGCAAAAAGAGAGACCCTGCAATAGCTGCGTATCACATGCTTTTTTTATTAAGGAAGATAGGGCCTCACTTACAAATAGGAACAAATAAGGGGAAAGGGGGTCGCCTTGACGGATCCCGCGGGTTGGCTTGAAATAGCTTCCTGGCTTGCCATTAATAACCAACGCTAACTCCACAGATTTAACCAAGCTCATGGTCAGCCGCACCCACTTCTCATCGAAGCCCAACTTCCTTATCATGGCCTCCAAAAAATTCCATTCGACTCTGTCATATGCTTTATTCATATCCAATTTCATGCCCAATTCAAATGACTTGGTGGATTTTCTAAGCTTCAAAAGATGGAAAGCCTCATGAGCAAGAAGGATATTGTCTTGTATTTGTCGGTTTGGGACAAATGCATTTTGAGCAGGGGAAATAATCTCAGGTAGAAACTGTTTCAATCTGTTGGCCATAACCTTAGAGATAATTTTGTAGGAATAGTTACATAGGCTAATTGGGCGATAATGAGTAACAGACTCAGGATTTGGGACTTTGGGGATTAATACAATGTTGGTGCTGTTTAGGATAGTGGGATTACAGCTTTCAGCAAAGAAATCCTTCACAAAGCCTTGAACCTCCCTATGGATTATGTCCCAATAATGATGGTAGAAAATCCCTTGATATCCGTCTGGCCCCGAGGCCTTAAGAGATCCCATTTGCATTGTCCCTCCATTTGGGCCATTAATCATTTGTTTGGGGCACTCTCCAAGATGAATCAGTGTTCCGCTGTAGTTTCTATGTATAAACAGATGCTGGGAAGTCAGTACACTGAGTATTGTTATCAATTGCTTGTGACCTATGAATCGGGTGGACCTGGGTTTCTCTGTTTTAGCAAATACCCTTAAACATGGTCTTCAGCCCAATGCTTATACTTTGACTGCTTTGCTTCATGGAGTTTGCAAGTATAGGTCGATCTCTAAGGCAATGCAGTTCCCGAAAATATAGGAGAAAGGATTAGCATGCAGTGAAGTCACTTACGCTCGTATAATTAATTTGTTATGCCCGAGCTGGGAAAACATGTATTGCATTCATGGAGTTTGCAAATATAGGTCAACCTCTTAGACGTTGAATCCTGCAAGGAAAATTTCTGGATCCATCCCTGTCTAGACATTTCATACTGTATTCATTGAATCATTTCACAGATTGAAGCAGTACCAAATTTCAAATGATAAGCTCGGGAGCTTTGCAAGTCAGTGCTAGTTTTAACAGTAAGGGTTGTAAGATTCTTGCTGAGGTGGGCCGCGGAGCAGTGCTTCTGTTGTGTTGAAAGAGCTGTGGTGCAACACCTATTTTTTTGGTGAAAACCAAGGTATCCCCCGCGCGATTGCGGGGACTAACCTCGAGGTACTGTCGGGCGCAAAGCGGGGACCTCTCCCAACAAAGTCTGCTCTATTCGCAAGCGCCTGGGATCGAACCCAGGACCTCTTGTTTAAAGGAGCAACACCTATTCATTGTATCAAGAACTCGTCTTCAGTGATATAGCATTTATTGAGTAACTTGATAGCCTAAAATTGCAACGGTTTAAAGCCTAATAATTTCCTACTTGATATTATTGTTCTACGTATAATGTAATCTTTTAAGTGCAAAGGATTGGGGGAGGGAGGGTTTACACAAATATTCACGTGGTGTCTGGTGATTTCGAACCTCTGCTCATAGGAGTGGAGATAAAAGGGCTTAACCAACTGAGCTATACCCTACTGGCCAAGAGCACCCACTTTGTCATTCCTCACATATAAAAACCTAACTGGAGAATTTTATTACCACCCCCAATCCATTGAAGGCACTTATCTTTCTAAGAACATCCCTTACAGACTTTTAACTGTATGTATTAAGTGAAACCACCCGCTCAACTTACCTTCATCAGAGTGACTAAGCTCATCTCTGTCCAATTCAAACGTACAACATCTAATTATTTCAAATACATTCAATCTAATGCGGCTCTTGTCCCAAGTTGCATTGTGGAAGGTCAGAGCAGAATCATTCTGCAACCACCTTGCTTTCTGTTTCGATGCATTGTTTAGGCTCTGCTTGGTTTCATTTTCAAAGTCACTTTCTGTTGTTTATAGAATTCTAGCTTAATTTCCCATGCTTTTGAGTTTACTCACAGTTAAATTTTAACCAAGTTTTGATTCTGATTGAAGTTAACTTGTCACAAGGCATTATTCAAGGATCCTTAACACTAATGTCGAACTGACAACATTCACATACAAAAAATTCCACATGATTAAACCTCACTCTCAAAGCAAAACAAAACATAACAAAGCAAATTTTAACACTCAAGATGATCAACTGCATAACCCATTAGACCTTGTTACCATAACATATGAAGAACTAGTGTGGAAAGACCTCATAGCTCCGCTGTGGTACCTTTCTGATGATGGCCCTCATGAGATCAAAGTAAAGGGGCAGCTGTGCAAGAGCGAAAAAGGTGACCGGCAAGCAAGTTGCTGCATACAATGGATATGCCACATATCTCAGTTGATGTTTGAGGACAAAGATATGCCCTGTGCAGAATGAGACTAACATGGAAGCTATAGATGCGAAGAGTGATGTTAGACCCAGCAAAAGTTTCCGAGGCAAGTCCATTGAAAAATCGCTTTCTTCATATCTAGAAGTGAGAATTGAAAGAAAGAAGACCAGGGAAGTTACTGAGAAGCAGAGAGCAGTCAGTGATGAGATGGTGAAGGCACCGAATGCTGACTCGTCCTTAAGAATTGGTTCACCTGTATTCTGATTAAGTCCACCTGGTACAGTTGCTGATGTTGCAAATGCAACCGTTGCAATGAGAGCTGCAACCACAGAGCACGACTCCGAGGTTTTAGTTAGCCATTTGCTGCCTTCTTTTATAAGATTTCGGTGTGTATTTATGAAGATCTCCTTTGGGGTCTGGCCTTTTTTGTTGTAGCGAACAAAGAAACCATGTGGCATTGAGCTTTTGACAAACTGCGCATCCAGTCAACATAACAGTAACTCTTGAAGATTATGTTCACACTTCAAAACCTTGATTTCAAAGTTTAACTCAAAAAGATAAATAAAAGGCCAGTAATGGTAAAGCCAGAGGTTTGTAAGCTGAAGACTAACATGAATAGTGCAGCTGAAACTGATGTAGTGTGAGATCAACAATAGTTCATACCTTATACCACTTGATTTCCCATTGCATTTGCAATGCAGCGCCTGGAATAAGCCAAGGCCGGTACTGTCCACATCTAGCGGCAAGATGTAAAGCGCTGTTACCTTGGTTGTCCAACTGACGCAACAAGCTTTCTTTTAGTATCTTTCTCTTCCGCAGGAGATTGTAAACATGGGGTTGCCTGTTCTCAACTGCTAACAGTACAACATTCTTGTTATCAGAGTCCACATCCTGGATGGCCACTGGGAACTTGTCTAGGATTGTTTCTACCATTTCTGTCACTCCCATCTTTGCTGCAATTAATATTGGTGTCTGCTTTTTATCTGCTTCACAATTTCCATTCTTCTTATCTCCCAAGGGTTTGTTTTCCTTCCTCTCTTTACCGTTGTTGAGTCCAAGTTCGTAATCATGTGCTGTAGGTTTTCGAAGCCATGTTTGAAGGTGAAAAACTTGTAAAAGATAACACAATATTTCATAGTTATTTTTATACTAATTAGCCATCCCAGTTGCCTACAAGTAGGCTACTGTCCATCTCCAATAAATTTCTGTTCTGTTTTTCAATACAGCACAAACTTCTCGGTTAAAATAAATGACTTCAATGGTATTTAGGAATACCTGATTTCTTCCCTTTAACCTTCCCACGTTTGTTAATGTCAATGAAGCATGCAGTACACAGAAGATGAGTAACTACCAGGCCAAAATAAAAGAGAGGTGTAATTTGTTTACCTGGTTGATTCTGATCACTCTCTATCTGATACTTGTTTTGGTTTGAGGACGACAGTTTTGTTTCAACATTTTTATTTCCACCTTTAGATGGTACATGATCGACTGCTGAAGACGGGGCTTGGTCTAACAAGATAGGATTAGGAACATCACATTCTTCTTTATCTTTGTTTGGTTGATGGGGATTTCGTCCAGTATTTTGGTACTTGTATAAGGAAGTACGCTGAACCAGTTCATTCATGACCTGATTAGCCCATATATGTCGCTCTTTCCTTTCTTGGATTTTCTTTATCTTCCAAATGCCTACATGTCATTCAACAAAAGAACATTAGGAGATGAGGCAACTGTCGTCCATGAGATTTAAATTTTTTCGCTTAGAAGGGTTCTTGGATGGGGAAGTGATGTGGTTTTAAACAAGCTTGCGTGTCTAGCTAGATGACGCAAGCTGTACTAGTTATTGATCAGGGGCTATGAATTAAGTTTGGTACTGACCAATTCCCAGAATAATTAGCATGGCCTTCATCATAAGCTTGAAGAATAGAACTAGTGAGGCGTAATTGGGCGGATACGAATAATTTCTTCTCCCCTGTTCATGTGGTTGGTTTGTACCTGCAAAGAGGCAGAAAAAATAATGCTAAAGTCAAGTCTACTCAGAACAATTGAGATGCCTAAAATGTCATCAGATGATGAAATTAAAAAATTGAACAGTAATCCCCTATATTCATAACTCTAGAAGTTCAGAACTTGCAAGACCTTTTTTTCTTGATTTATTGTCCTAGAAGAAAATGTCATGGAGTTATGAAGCAACAAATTCTTAGAACATATTGAATACCTCAACAAGTTAACAGTGACCATCTTTCTTCATTAAGGAATATTTTTTTCTACCCAAAATAATACAATTTCAGAGAATAATTCACCATAATGTTTAGAAATAAAAAAATTTATATGGCACCTTTTGATTCCGACTTCTTCACTGACGAAGATAATCCTGAAATGCCTCCTGCTGCAGTAGCTCCAATCAGAAATATATCACATTTGACTTGAGTTTTAAATCCGAACAAACAGGTCTTTTACATTTAGTAAGGTTAATGTTAGTCTTTGTCATGAAGGTTATTTATCTATCTTCTTTTTCTTTTCTTTTTTTGACTTCTTTTAATTGTAGGGAATTTTACCATCAGTTGATCTTGAACTCTTTGCATCTGATACTTCTTTTGATTGTAATCTCATTGCAGAAGAGGATGCTTCTGGACTGGCCTCTGCATAGTTGGGCTATTTAATCAACTGAATCTTTAACTTATCATCTTCAAACTTCAACTATAATGTACAAACTGTTCAACTTCATCATCAGGTTGGTTTTTCTTTCTTTCATGATAAAAATTAATTTACTTATTTTTTCATAGGGAACGTCGCCAAGGCAAGACTCAGTGATTAATTTATCACCTGCAGAAAAAATTGTGTCTTATATTAGATGTTTATACCGTCAGATTTCAACCCCCTTCATCTCCTCTGCATTGCAAAACTCAGCTGCTTCATCTTCTTCGCTCTGCATAACTCAGTGGAGATACTTGTATCTGTACTATTTTCATGTATGCAAAACTCAACTCCTGCATCTATTTTGTTCGTTGGCCGCTGGTTTGTCAGGTAAGCCAAAATCTGCTTCATAATTTTTTTCCCTTTTTGGCTGCTGGTGTTGGAGCCAACGATTGATTTGCCATATTCATATACCCATTATGCAATTCATTTGGTTTCAATAGTTTTTTTCCAGAAAAAGAGAAGGAAAAAGGTTGATTCGCTAGTTTAATTTTATGACGGAGACGACGATGATTTGCAAGCCACTTCATCCTCTCCACTCTTTCAGCGAAGGCCACCAGGTGCAATTCAGTTTCGAAATTGGTCAACAAGGACGATGCCGGCTCTGTGGTAAGTGAGGAAGGTTTTGCTTGGACTCCAATGTCTGGTTCTCTGGTGTGCCATATTTCTGTAGAGACCAAGCAAAGTGGTCTTGCTTCATCTAGCCATTCTCCCACGATCCCTAGTCAATCTGGGGTACAAGTTTCTGGTTGTAGCCTTGCACTCCAACTGTTCGATGCAATGCTGAGGTCATGTGGGTTATTCCAGGGTGGCTGTTTTAATAGTTTTGCTAGGTTTCTCTTTTCAGTTAAATTATAGTTTTATGAATTTCAGAAGAAAATAAATAATTAAAACAATCCCAGACTAGTGGAGTTTGAGAAATTGAGAGTGGTTGTGAAGTAAAGCTGTATGGAATGAATATTGAAATGAAGCTTGTAATGCAATTGTAATATTGAGTGTGTTCGTACTTTGTATGGATGGTTTTTTTTTGGTCGAAATCGAATGGATGGTTAGTATCTAATTTGTAATTCTACTTCTTGTGTCTTTGTGTCTTCTTTCGGAAACTTGGCAAACATCTTGAGAGAGAGTATTGAGAAAGAATATGGGCATCCAAAGAACTGCACAAGGTTTTGGCAATCCTTCTCTCCAACTCCATCATTTAAATGATTGAAGTAGGTCTTTCCCTCGTAAATAAAACAGAGTTGCTGCCACAGAAGTATGCTCAACCCAATCTCTAATGAAACACTTGAAACAAACAGATACACCTGAACAAGCCCTCTGATACATTAGTGCAATATTACACTTGGTACATTAGTGCAAGATTACATAGGACTTGATGTCCTTTACAAGTATTACCAAAAATCACATTCAATTAGAGATACTTCCATCATCTTTATTTGCCAAAATATACTGCAGTACCAATTTCATTTACAAAAGATTTGATTTTCAGTTACAGATACAAGTACTATTTTCATTGAATGTAATACTTGAACACCTTAAGAAGGCAGAGATGCCAAATTTCAGAATAAGGTGAAGTAAGTTAACATGCCAAGACAGGAAAAACATAAAAAACGTTCTAAATCAAAACAGAGTTCTTAAAAACTATGGAACTCTTGTCAATTGAGAGCTAAACAACCCAAATTCAATATTATGACGCTTGGTGACTCTTGTCAATTGAAAAAGGTGGATCCACTTCAACATTATAACTCTTGGCCCCAACACTTGTGAATTGAGAGCTAAACAACGCAAATTCTTCTTCAAAGGGTGATTGTGCCTACACTCATACAGTACATGTCAATAGAATGAAATAGACTCAATCAAGTAAATAATTATGATGAAGAAAAGTTTAAACTAAATACAATGAAGCACCTGCAACAAGTTGACCATGCTAACTGGAAATTCCATGCTTAAATTATTGACAGCAACAAGTTCCTACAATTTTTTGGGTTCAACAAATACAATAAGAAAAATACGATGAAGTTATAGGGTAATAAACAAACAAAGAGGAAATTAATAATGAATGAAATTATATAAATTGGAAAATGGACGTAGATGAAAACCAAAACAACGAGCTCCAATCCCTTATATTTAATATCAGAAAAAATAACCAAAACAAGCAAAGTATTGGAAAATTTGTAAAAGAAAAATCAATATATTTTATATAAATTGTTACTGTAGATGAAAACAAAAAGGGAAAAAAGATTGAAACCAAATGAATTTGATTCAAATAATTGGATATTGGGTATATGATTGTCGCAAGTTATATGTTTATACCTTTCTCATACGATGGCTAAAAAACCAGCCATCAAAAAGCAGAAGAAAAAGAATTATGAATAGCAGAGCATGGCTTACTTGATGAACCAGCAGCCAACGAGCGAAGTAGAAAAACAAACCATATGCAGGGGCTGAGTTTCGAAGAGGGGAGAAGATGAAGCAGCTGAAGTTTTGCAATGCATAGAAGATGTAGGGGTTGAAGTCTGATTGTACGTAGCGTAGAAGATGAAGCGGCGTGCAAACGTGTTTTTGTCAAACGTGTATTCTAATCTAATATATTTAATTGATTTTAATTAAAGAAACAAAAGGCTAAAAGAGAGTTAACAAAGTTAAACTCCTGTTAAGTTGTGTGCCACATGTCGCAAAACTAAGGGGGAAACAGGGGGGCACAGGGGATTTGGTAACAGGAAAATTGGACTCGATCAGAAGCCTCATGCTTTATGTATCCCATTCCCATATCAAGGCCATTGTTTGGGCCTAAATTCCACACACCAGCTCATCTGACTATTGCCCTATGTCAACAATAGTGGCTTGGGCTTTGTTTTACCAAAGTCAGAAGTTAGCCTTGAATGTTTTGGAAGCCCAGACCATTGCGAACCAATTGCAATAAATAATTTTACAGGTTAAAGATTAATTGCCATTAATGGTGATTTCATCTGGAAAAACCAGATTTAATTGGTTTTAATTGAAACCGAGCTTCAAGTTTCTCCAAAGGCTCAAGGAATGATCATAACCGTTGATTTACTAATTCAAGGATCAAATCAACAAACAAAGGGGAGAATTTTCTCTCCACAAATGCCCACGCGACTCCAAAGACAAGACGTCAAATAGGGCAGAGGACGTACTGGGGAGTTGCTAGAAAGGTTAAATTGGAAAACCACTCCCCATAACCATTTAATACCAGAAAAGAGGGCGAAGTTTCCTCCCCATTCTCGTGAAGATTTTTGGTTAGTGCAAGTTGGGTCTACAAGAGATAAACGAGAAATAAGAGAGTTGGTTGTTAAAAGGTCAAAACTGATCATCATGAGAATTGACTCTTGATGGAGGCTTTTCTTGTCAGATTAACCACTACGCTTTTTACACTGGAACATATAATTCTCTCAACAAATATGTCCTCCAGATATTATGGAATAATCACTCATGCAGATCTCCAATAAATATAGGAGGATGTGAACAGGATAGAGGACATCAAAAAATTAAATCAAAACAAAAACTCTCAGTCATACTGACAAAAGCAAGCAAGATCACACGATCTCAAAAGCTTTCGAACTTTGAAACAACCAAGTTCTTTGGTCTGCAAAAGCCATCCAGCCTCTAACAAAACAGGCAGAACTAAGACTTTTGACTTCAACTCAATCCAAAGAAGCAGTTCACAAAGGAGACGAGATTTCTCTCGTTACAAATTTGGCTCAGCACAAGCGAATCAAGCAGAATTCAGGTTTTTCATAATATGAAAACCTCAAAAAATATACAAAGATGTCTTGATGTCCCAGAATCACCAGAATATCTCTCATGTGATCCACAATTAAGCCGAACGGGTACTGAAGTGTAGTTCCAAGTTAGCAATTGTCAATCCAGCCACTTCCAGTCCAGTCCATACTGAAGAAATCTCAGTTCAGCCTATTTGGCAAGCCTCTCCATGGTTCAAATTGATTAAAGCTCCGCCAATCTCAACATTGGAATCGATGCTGAACCCTATTAGATGAAGGTGCTGATGTGTAATTCCAGCACATATACATCTAATCCAGCTCAATGTTCTGATGTCCTTCCAGACATGGCAGTTCTCTTTTGCTTATGTTGTGTAATAGACAGTTCTCTTTGAAACAGTTTGATTTATTTTCAATATTCATTTTGGCTAGAATTACTAGTTTTTATTGTGGGAAATTGTGAAGTCCTCACCCGTCTGAGGCAAGAAAAGAACTTGTTTGGGAGATATTCCTTACCCAAATTCACAATCACTTTTTTAAAGTCAGTAACTTGGGGCGCAAGTTATTTATTTTTCATAAATTTTTTAGGGTTTTAACAGCTAACAGTGGCACGCTTGCACACCAAAGAAAGTTGACTTGTTGACCACAAATGGTTTTTCAAGCCAATGAGAAAATTTACCCTACCACCACAGGAACTAAATCAAAACGGGTGAACAATTTGGCACGCCTAGTGGGACCTCTCAGTATACATACTCCTAAAAATATCTTTTAGTGTATAAATATTGGAAGTTCTAGCCAAAATCCATGTTTTGCCATGGAAAGAGGTCAACCTGCTGTCTAGGAAGAAGGATTTGAATCAGAAGAAAGCGATGCCAGACAGTCAGCTCACGGCAGTACCAGAAGTATACGTTCCCGATCTAGTGGCAAGTCAACAAGCAGTTCAGGAAGGATCGTGAGGCTGCTGTTGCAAGAAATCCAAATCCAGACGTTGTAATCCAACAGTTGGAACTCCCTTTCGGACCTCTACTAGGATTGGCATGGACATACCATGAAAATCCTCTCATTTGCACAAATGACTGGAGTACCTGAATCGGCAGAGACTCAAGCTGGACAAAGAAGAGGAGTGTCACATCCCGGGATCGGCTTCGCCATAGCACGATATTGTCCGCTTTGGGCCCCCCCTCTCTGCCCTCACGGTTTTGTTTTTAGGAGCTCACAAGCAACTTCCCAGTGGGTCACCCATCCTGGGATTGCTCTAGCCCAACTCGCTTAACTTCGGAGTTCCCATGACTCTGAGCTCCCAAAAGGCCTCGTGCTAGATGGAGGTGGGCATGTACATATAAGGCACATCACCATCTTTCCGTTGGTCAATGTGGGATCTTACAAGGAGCCCTTGTTGTCCAAGAGCATGCGGTTCCGACCCTTCCAGCAGGCACATCAGTAGTTCAGGCTCCCAGAAATCAGCCAAAACTCCTACCTGTTCCACAGCCGGAGGTTCAACAAGGTCCACCAGTGGCACATCTGCCTAAATAGCTGTTGCATTCCTAAAAGGACACAAATTAATGTGCAAACAACCAATTAAAAATACCCGCAAGTGCACGAATCTAATGAAGTATAGATTATGTAAGTACGGGGTCGATCCCACGAAGAACTTGTCGGCTCCCTATAAGTTCTAATTTGAGTACGTAAAGAACACTTATTTAACACACTACAAATGCACAAATGCAAATTGGAAACTAAAAAAGAGTAAAGAAATGTAAAAGAAATGAAACAACACAAGAAACCAAAGAAAAACAGAAACAGCACTTTCTATCACCCTTTTATCACCTATTTATCACATGTGAACAGTGAAAATGAACAGTGCGACCAGTC